TGCCGCACACGTCAGGAGCACAGCAGTTTTTATACGGTTTAACTGCATGCCCTTCAGTGGTTTTAAACAAAACGGCTTTACGCAGCCAGTACCCTGGCCAGCTAGAATATTTCTAAACATTTCTCCAGCTTTAGAGTAAAGCTAATGCCCTTTGCTCTGTTAAGAACTATCAGTTGTCTCCTTAGAATAGTTCTTTTTTAATGATCTTTTTGATGAAAAGCCTTGTTGCTCTGTAATGCCTAAAATATGTTTATCAGTTCAGCTGGTGGTTTAGAGGGCTTTCTCCCCTAACATGGATTAGAAAAGTTGAAAGGCTACAAATTTAATACACATTAAAGAATAAAAACTGTGCCACAGCCAAGAGGCCCAGGCTTCACCAGGTGACTAGCTCTCCTCCATCTCTTTACTTGCCCGTGCAAAGTCAAAGTGGGGCTCATACTGTCCTCCCACTCCATAATTTGCCACCTGAAAAAGAGAAACACAGCGCTCGTGAAGAAGGAAAGAGGTGGAGACAGAAAACAGGACTTACCCTTCCAAAATCAAAATGAGGCTCATACTGGCCTCCTACTCCGTAGTTGGCTACCTACAGTGAAAGGAGAAGCACAACATCGAGTAAAGCCATATTTCATCCAGACAAGAAAGGGCGACCTTTAGAGAGCTGGTCTAGTTTAAAAATCAAGCCATAGGCAATCACGGGTCTCTGCCAGCTAAAGCGTACGGTATGCGGCAAAATCCTCCTGGGTTTATTCACAGATAGCTCTGACGTCACACGGACGCCTCATCAGTGCAGAGCCAGAGCCTGAGGCCGAGCTTTAGGACCTCAGTCCTTCAGTCTGCCTTTGCAGGTCTCGACCGGACACCAGCAAAGCCGCAGCGGAACCTTCCCTTCCCCGGGGTCAGCTTTCCTTCAAAGCTCTGCTGTCTGCCCCCAGCCGAGTGGTGAAGACATTCTCCCATTTCAGAGCGCCTGCTGCCGGCTGATCTAATGACTCCCGGGTCGCACAACCTGACCGTGACACTTTTGAAACTCCCGAAGACCCGCACAGCCACGACCGGACACCAGCAAAGCCGCAGCGGAACCTTCCCTTCCCCGGGGTCAGCTTTCCTTCAAAGCTCTGCTGTCTGCCCCCAGCCGAGTGGTGAAGACATTCTCCCATTTCAGAGCGCCTGCTGCCGGCTGATCTAATGACTCCCGGGTCGCACAACCTGACCGTGACACTTTTGAAACTCCCGAAGACCCGCACAGCCACAGGCTCCAAGGAGCCCCAAGGTGCTTGGCTACAAGAGCGGCAGCGCATCCAAGACTGGCACCGCAAGATGCGGTGTACTCCGGGAAAGGAATCTGGTACTTCCCGGGGCAGAAAAATATTTTTCCTCTATAGAAACTTTACGGGCTATATTCTTTTCAAAATAGGCCATGGCACTTCTACATCATTCAAGTTTAAATCACTTTTTGGTCTCTATGTCAATAAAGAGGCTCCACTGTCCTTTTTGCCAATTGAATTTTTTTCTTTTCATCTCTTTATGTATTCATAACCTGAATTTTCAACCAGGTGCTTGGGCATTTTCTCATCAGGAGTCTTGATGGTGTACCACCGTGGCACAACAGCTCTCAGGAGCCTCTTTCTAGGTGTTGTGCTTTCTGGGTATTAATGCTGTCTCAGAGTCAGTGAAGCAGCTGTTCATTTAAAGGCCTCAAGCAAAAAAAACCCTCTAAAATAAAATCTACTCAAGCGTCACATACAGTCAACCCTTCCCACGTTATGGAGACACCAGACACACGCTTGGCCTTCCAGGACCAAGGTGGGACGGCAAATCTGAACAGCCGTTCTCTCCCCTTTCCTGAAGCATCAGTCATGCTAAACTTCTCACTCTCGCCACAGCAGCAAGGTTTCACGCTGCAGCAATCAAACTCAGGTCTATTAGCAAACTCCGCTCTATTAGCGTAAATAAAAAGGAATTACGCATCCACTTGGACAAACAGCAGGAGTGTCAGGCATTACTGCCTCCCTCCAGCAACAGAAAGCCTTTTCACACTCTGCAAAGACAACTTTGCTTCTTCCTCGCTATAAAAACCCCACTGGTCCCTTCCCACGGCCTGGAATCAGACCAGCCATCAGACTGAGCTTTTTGTGGCCGCCCCACCACCGCTACGTGGGCGAGCAGGGTGCTGCACGTGCAGCCATCCACACCGACAGTCACCACCATACGCATCCAAACAGCTTACCTGTAGTTCCTCTGCTGTGGAGACATCGAGTCCTGTTAGGTCCTGTATCCGTGTGTTAATGCGAGATACCACAGGGCTTTCGTAGCCAGACAACCAAGCACTAAGTGGGTGGAAAAAAGGATAAAAATTAATACAATATGGTAGTAACCGGCAGTAAGCTAGCAGTGCAAATGCAGCACTCGGAACTACTTTGAATTGTATTTTTTTCGTACTTCTCAAGAATTTGGTAGGGTGATCAGAAATATTTTTCAGTGCATGATGAAGGCCTGCATTTAATAATAAAAAGTTTTCTAGAAAGAACACTTACAGCACTGGTTTGAGGAAGCTGTAAAACTAAGGGCCTTAATTCCCATACAGGGCTACCAAATGACTGAAGAAAACGTTCCAAACAGTGACCTCTGCTTCCGGCTCTAAACCAGCACAGAACACTTCTGCTCTTACCCATTCCAAACAGTTAATTTAGACCCCACGTTTGATGCATTTGGAAGCAACACTTGGGAAAGGAAGAGGTGAGCTGTGACCTTATTTAGCATAGACTAACGCAGAGGCTGTGTGCTTGAGCGCAGCTCAGCTCCTCCACGTCACTTGTGGCATCACAGGCAAGCGCCCTGGGATCTGTCCCGTCACGTTACTTACCTGTGCAATGGTACTAAAAATCATTATGAAAAACAATTAAACAATGCATAAAACTCTTTCTTTTCCCATTTTCCCCTGGTCAATAATTTCTACTGAAACAGCCCATTACAAATTTGGTATTTAGCACATGTTTCAGGTACCCAATGATTTTTAAGGGTGGTGGAACCAATCCAACTTTTTTATTTATTAACTATAAATGTGGAAAGATCAGCCTCACCGTTCCAAAGGCATCTTCAAAATGTCTGCCTCCTACTGGAAACTAGAACTTTTCAGCTAGAAATACTGCATTTTAAAGTAACTGGCAAACGAGCCAGCAGGGACAGCATGACCAGGTAGAGAAGCAGTCCCACATGAGAACTGCTGCCTCGCCCCGACCCCGAGCAGCATCGGTACCCTGCGGGGTTGCTCGTTCTTGAAAGCTGCGTGGCTGGGCAGCAGCTCCTGCCTCAGCAGCAGCCACATACCCCAGCTGGCGGTGTTTGGCAGAAAAGGGCACAGGTCGGTACGACCCCAGCGCTGCGCGGCCCTGCTGGACCCTTACCAGCCATGAACGCATCCGGTTGGAAAAACAAACACACGAGCATTTTTCATCTCTTTACAAGATAAACATTTTGTGCTTTTTGAAAAAAAAATAAAAGACAAATTTCATCTAGACACTAGCTTTTTTTTTTTTTATAAAAACCCCCCCCACTTATCTGCTCCCATGATGCTTGGTTTTCTTGCTGCTTTACTCCTCCCATTCTAGCCCACGCACCTTCATGTTACCTGCGCCTCTGCTCCCTCTCTCGGCTTGCTCACTGCCCTCCCGGTCCTCCGCCCCATTTACCTTAGCATCCTAATACGGGTGATAAATACTGATGATCTGGGCCCCGTGGAACATGGAGACTGCTAGCTCTGCCTCTTCTCTCACCAGTGGTTCCTGCTGCTGTTACAAGCCCGCTAGACAGAAAGCTACGCCCAGAGCCTCGCTTGCAAGGACATCACAGTATTTCTACTCAAGTGAACTTTGGCATCTATACTAAATTAGGATTATTTTCTTCAATAAATAATAAAAAAAAAACACCCCAAAAACCCCACACCAAAACACTTTGCACAGAAGCAACAGTAGCATGACACGTGACACAAGGCACTGACACAGGTTACAGAATCTCTACGAGCATTTTTTTTTTTTTTATAAAACGACAAATAAACTATGGATAAAAGAAATAAGATTTCTCGAGCCAGACTTGCACAAACACATACGAAGCTCCATCTACTTCTGAACGCTGTTAGTATAAGGAAGTGTTACAATGCAACCTTCTTTGATTTAAGGTGGTAGGAGAATGCAAAGACAGGGAGCACCCCCCCACACCCCAAAAAAAAAGGAGGGAAAAAAAAAACCCCAAAGCAGCAGCTATGCAGCCACATGCTACGCAGCCATGTTGACAAGGCAGCACAAGCCTAACATCACACGTGACACACAAGAAAAGCCCCAACACAGCCATCAGCTTCAAAGTACAGGCTTTAGCTACCTCTGTCCAGTCTAGGCATAAAGGCTTTAAGACAGAAAAAAAAACAAAAAACACCCCACCCAAACACAAAAAAACCCAAACCCAAAGAAAGAAAAAAAGCAAGCACTCTTACTATATTGGTTACTTCGAATTGCAATGAATGCTTTCAACAGGGAGAAATACTACAGCCTCTCATGAAGGGAAAGTACTATATGTATTTTAAAAATAAAACTAATTGCCCAAGGACACAAAGACAGTCTATGAGAGGTGGAGGAAACGGGGAACTGAAACCCTATTTCAAGTGCCAGCCTGTCTGCTGGTCGCTGGACAAAACTTCAAGGGGGAGGCACATCGCCCTGAATGGTTTCATGTGAAGCGCTGCAGCGTGATTTAACCCTCTAAGTGTCACAAAATCGGCTTCATGAGGGCAGAGAGCCCAGGAGCCCCCCGTCCTACCTTGTCCTCTTCTGTTGCCTGTCTCAGCCCTGCTCCTTTGCCCATGTCAGAGAAAGTGTGTGCCTAGCTCCTAGTTCAAGACCATTTATAGCAGGTATTCCTTCACCCCAAGCACCCTTCACTTCCCTACTCTTGCCTATCAAAAAAACCCACCCCAACTCAGCCCTGCTCCTTTGCCCATGTCAGAGAAAGCGTGTGCCTAGCTCCTAGTTCAAGACCTTTTATAGCAGGTATTCCTTCACCCCAAGGACTCTCTTTTCCCTACTCTTGCCTATCAAAAAAACCCTCCCCAGAATCCCACAACTCCCTGACCAGTGGCGTATGCAATGCAGAATTAACAGCCTTAAGTTGTGCTCAACAGACTTTTTTCTTTTAATATATTCACAGTCCAAGGTTGAGCGTGATTCAGTAAACACACGCAAGCGCTATTCTTCAACGTACGTTTGTTAAATTGAACGGTGCTCGTCTGACACATTAACTTGCACAAACACCGTTCTGCTGTATTTTTGACCAGCTGACACCTACGAGTCCACTGCGAGCAGAAAACTTCGCACCAAAAAAAGGGACACGCTTATTTCTGGGAAGTCACAAGCGTGGCCGTTCAAGACCTGGGTGACTTGACTTACAGGAGGATTTAATATTTATTTCCTTCATAACAACCACACCAAACCCCAAAACTCCCTGATTACCAAGGGATCATATTTTGGTGTCCCACTTGGCTTTTGTAAGAAGACACCCATGAACTAAGCTACCACGTTATAGAAACTGAACTAATTTCATTAGCGCACTGAATTCATGCTGGGGGAATCGCTCTCCTCTTCCTCACACACAGATCTGACTCTTAACAACATCTGTATTTGTTACAACAGCAGTAATTCCATTTGCTCCTCCCTCTTAGAATTCTGTATTGGGTATCTTATTAGAGATTTTTTTTTTTTTAATAGCACAGTGCTTATATGCAGAAATTATTTTAGACTAAGCAGTATATTGGAGGAAAAATACCCAACAGATAACTGTCCAGAGCTACAGGACTTAGAGGGGCTCACGCGCCCAAAAGCTGGCCTAGCACCAGCCATTCCAAGGGCCATGTCCTTGGTCTCAGCTACACCAGCACAGGCCCACAATGTTTCAGCGCTGGTTTTTTAACAGTCATTGGTCACACGAAACACTGGCATTTATGTTTTTTAAAACTTTCTAAAATGTACTTAGTATGTAAAAAAGTACAAGTAGAGACGCAACAGGGAGCGAATAAAAGCACAGACTGGTATTTCTGAAGTGGAAACTTCACCATCATACGCTACGAGCCCCGACTGGCTGCTGGGAGGAGAGAGGAAAAAAAAAAAAAAAAGGCAAGCAGCTTCTGTAAAAGCAGCGTGAGAGTGGCCGAGTTTATTCTGGTGCGGCACTCAGCGCGGCTGGATGGTGCTCCTCGTGCTGCTGGCAAGGTGCCCCCTTTTATACAGCCTGCCACGTACCGCACAGCGAACAGTAGGCCTCTCAAAGAGAGGAATGCTGTAATTTAGAAGTGCATTTGCTAGGAAAGAATGTTTGAAGGGGGAAAGCAGTCATCTATTAAAAAAATAAAGCAAGCTTTTTTTTTTTTTTTGTTTTTGGGAGCAATGATTCACCTGGAATCCAAACCAGCTCCAACAGAAAGATGTTTCTACCAGCGGTTCTGCAAAGGAAGTTCAGCGATCCAGCCTGAATAACGTGATCCTTCTAAAGTAGCCTGGCTTGGGGTGTTTGGGGGTGGCTTTTACCTCCGACTATAGATTTAGGTGTCATGTGTTCTCTTTTAAAGTATATACATTCTATGCATGTGGAGGACTGCAAAGGCAAGGGAAAGCATGAGAAGGGAAGGCCCCCTCCACCCTCAAGTCTGTCCCTACCCTCAAAAAATTGTCTTTGCTAACTTGACAATGTGCTGTGCCCCATTTACTTGTATGCTTCTTCGCAATTCTCACTCCAGTTTCCAGTGAGATACAGAATTAAAAATCTCAGCTTGGAAAAAATCTGATTTAATTCTGTGAGCTCCTTCGGTATGCTGGAAGGAAGCCCCAGCACAGCACTTTCTTGAGCACCAAACCTTGAACGTTTAAGGGTCTCGTTCACCAGGTACTAGACACGAGGCTCCACTCCGGGCTAGTGGCAGCACCTTCACTGGCAATGGCTGCCCTCATACTTTATCACAGAGTCCCTAGGCAAGGTACAGCACATGGTTAATTCCAGATTAAAGCCCTAGGAGAAACAGTTATTTTTTCATGGCACAGAGCCAATAACAAGGTGATGGCAAAGGGGATCTGCCTGCACCATCAGCTGCACACATTCATGAGGGAAGCGGCTTTTAATGATGGGTGTTATCTAGCCCTGTTTTTTCTGACTGTAGCATCTGCAATAGTCTCCAGGAAGAACGCTTCCCACTAATGAAAAATCTAAAGTCTAAATAAAGAGTTCTTTTACTAAGGATCATCTATTTAAATCGGGGCCAATTATGCATCTCAATTTCAATTAGTCATCTGGTCACCTTCTCCCGTTCCCATTATTAGCACATCCAGTTTGACAGAGGCCGTGAGGATATGGTCGTCAAATGGATTATCAAGTTTCTTCAGTAAATGCCCCGGAGTGGTCTGTGTCACAGGGGACAAATCCCAGGACTGAGTAAACGCTGTCTTTAAAATACACAGTCACAGATAACTGAGAGAGGAATGGACAGGCTTAAAACTATAAATAAGTAAATAAATAAAACCTAAATGCAACACATGTCAAACAGGAAGGCCTATGTTCCTGAAGGCATTCTGGAGGTGGCCTGCAGGGACAGTTTTAAGGAGCAAATGTGTAAGAGCTCACCAGACAATTTCCAAAGGACTCCCACTGCCTGCACGCGCTCTGGTGAGTAAACAGACTTGCAGGTCTATGCTGCTGGAGGTGCAAGGCAGTTAATGCACAAAAATAAAAGTTTTCAACTTGCCACCGCTTGTACCAAGTGTGGCTTTAAGGATCGGGCTTCAGCTACAATGGTTTTCTACCTTCCATGAGAGTTACAATCATCCCTGACTCATTCAACTTCTTGTGACCAGTACTGTGAAGCACTTTTATCTTTTTAAAGAATTCATAAGCTAACTAAAAACTCTTAAAGCTACCAGCCATTCCAGTTTCAGGGTTTTTTTGTTCAAAGAAGCTGAAAGAACACCGGTTTTCCATTAAAGCAACTACTTTCAATCATTTAAACAAGGCAATTCTTTAAAATTATCAACCAGCTTTAATTTGCACCGTTGCCACGAATTACAGCAGCTCGTCAGTGCCTGGTTTTAAGCAGCGAGTATCCGTACCGAAGCTTCGTGGTAGAGGTGAGCTACGCAGGCCGCCTTTTCCACCGTTCGTTAGTGTAAGCAGAGCCCCGCGCGGCGCCGCCCTTTTAGTACGTTAGTTGTGCTAGAGAAGCCATGCTAAGCGACAGAAGGCGCTTCCGTCTCGGCTACCACTAACATACAGAACTGTTTCAGCAGAGCGCTTGCTTTGTTACAGGACGGCTCAGTTCGCTTTAGGCCGTTCTCTTTCTTAAGAGAAACCAAGAATGTAAAAGTTATGCAAAAATCCTTATTTGCCCCACGTTTAGAGATGAAGCGGTACGGTCCCAGGACAGACTTCCTCGGACTGGGTATACCTTTGGAAGACGTTCCCCTTACCTCTTAGAGACTCTGTAATGTGCTGTGGTCAGTTTCCCAGTCTCAGGGTCATGAACAGTAGCACGGCTCAGCTACAAAAAGAGAAAGGACAAGGGCTTACCCACCTAGTAGGCTGCTTTTTCGCCAAGCCACAGGTGTTTGAAAGGGTTCCGATTGGTCTGGATGGTATGCAATGCTCTTAAATTAGCAATATTAGAAGGGCAACAGAAGCTGTAGCTGCCATGTCCAAATCCACACAAATTGGTTGGAAAAATTTGGTTAGATTGTCCTTTCACTTTTTTCCTCTTTTTTTTTTTTTCTTTTTTTTTTTTCTGTTTTAAACTAGAGACTTTCTGCAAATAATTTACGATGCTGAGTTTCACAGACAATTCCTCTTCACCCAGAAGTTTAACGCCTTTCAGAATTTTGGCTTAACGCTGATGGAATGCAGGGTCAATCTTTTATCACCGCTATTAAAACCAGGTGGGGGGTGGGAAGGGGCAGGTGGATTCTTTTAGAGCCAGTCAGTTTTGGAAAAAATTGGCTAAATTCAAGACATGCAGTACTTAACAGACGAGCTGGAAAGAACCAGCAGCCCCGTGAAAACGAGCCTGCGTCTGCCAGATTTGTGTCAGCAGGAGGTAAAAGAGCCCCGGCAGGAGCACGGTATGATCTCGGACGACGAGTGTGACTAACGACCGTGCGTTTTGCTTGCCACTCCAGCTGTCACACGCAGCAAGGACTTGAAGCATCTCTTACACGTCTAATGGTGCTTCAAGTGATTTGCTAGATTTTACAAGGAAAGGGAGGACAATTTTTGCTTGGGGAGAAGAGCGAAGGGGAAGGGAATGTGTAAGAAAAAAAATATCTAGATTCGCTGAAGGTTTTGTAGCATCGTGTATTTGTTTTACACTTATGTGGAGATCTGCTTCTTGTACAGATCCTCATTTGAGGACAGACACTGAGAAGGTGACCAAAAAAAGAAAAAGAAGAAATCAAAATACGCCCCCAGAACTTCTAGCTGAAGGAAAAGACTGAGAAACTCAGCAGTAACAGCCTGTTACAGATCTGCACGTAATAAAGCGGTGGGCTACAAAGCCAAAGTTGTCTTTTTAGACCACCTCTTTCTTCCCCATAATGAGCAGAATCTACACACTCATTACAGGCCCAAAACATCTGGCATAGAGCTCTCTTACCTTTTGCTAATTCTGTAATGTGCCGTCTCCAAGGCTCCTGTTATGGGGTTTGAAATGGTGGCTCGCCTCAGCTGTGAAGCGAACCATCAGAATAGTTGCATTACAAAGCACATACTGCATCACAGCAATCCGACCATTCAGAAGCCTAAGGGGAAACGTCACGCAAGCCGCCACGCAAGCCACCCAGTCACCTCTTGAGGTGGTTTTTCTTTTACGGAGGGGGTGGAAATTCATAAAGCAGTTGATGGGGAAGGAGGGGCAGCCTCCAATTTTACTAAAAGAGAGGGGTTTTTTGGTTGTTGTTTTAAACAAGAGTGTTAGAGAAGATCAAGTTTTCCAGGAACGTTTCCATTTCTGTAGCAAGAACAGTCGTCTGAATAAAGTAAACTAGAAGCTTTCATTTCCTTCATATTGCAACAACTGCTGGAAGCGTTACAGCATGATGGCACGTGTACAACTGGTCCTTTGTTAGCGCTCTGCTCTGCGCATGTAAGAGGAGTTTTACAGATCAACGGAATCCAGGCAACACTTTGATCTCGTATAAGCAAAAGATGAATAAAACCCTACCCTTCTATACCAAAAAGCAGCACCAGAGTGAACTCCCTTAATGCCGACAGCTAACACAAACTAACTGCTCAGTCCATGGACACATTTACGTTGTATTCCTGTTACAGAGAACGAGAACTCTTGGTCTGAGGCCTTCCTTCCCCTCTGTTGTGCTCCAGTTACTTGACACCATTCCACCTACGTTAATACTCCGATTCCAAACCTTATGCGTGCCCTTTAACTTTGTCCACGTACTATCAGGCACGCTCCATCGTTCCTAACTGGAAAGGTTGAGTTGCAGAGCCCAAATTTTGGAAGAGGCACAAAATGGCATCCCAAGGCCCAAACAATGAAAAGAAGTATTTCTCTATTGTTAAAATGAACTAAGTAAACAGAGGACTCTCCACGCCTGCTAACGAGCACCGGGAACTCTTAATATGCTGCCTCTCGGCTCATCCCATGCAGACGCATACAAGAATCCAGGCACAAACTATGACTCCAGCGAGACTCCCAAAGCTGAGTAAGGTGGCTTCACCCCCCCCGGCTTACACCACCGAAGTGGCAGAAGGCTGGGCACAGATCAGACAGCGCTGGCTTCCGAGAGGCGGCGATGGTAACATCCCGAGCATCGGGAAGAAGGAGATGACCTTTCAGCCTTAAAAAACACAATCCTCTCACTATGCTCATTACTGAGCCCTGCAAGACCTCGGCCGTAGGAAATACGTGGAACGCTAACAGCATACAGATGCTTCCACATTAACGAACTATGAATCTGCAAGTCTTTACCATGAGCCAAACATTTGATAAGAAAACAATTATCTCAGCGCGTTTAGAAGTTAAAATAGCCATGTTTCAGAAGTCTGCACAGGCTTTTATTTTCAGGGCTCAGACTTACTTCTACTCCATGAAGAAGCGATTCAGTCATACTCCACAGACATAATGCCAGAGCTTTTGCAGCAGCAAAGGGCTTAACCAAACAACCAGGGCTCTGATTTTTAGACCTGCAGGAAGGCTGCCTGACAGGAGAGCAAGAAGAGATGTTTTGCAGGCAAGCGAAGAGAATTGCTCGTACTTCTTGCTTACAGTTCAGAACTGTACCTCAGAAGTACAACGCATCAGCCTTTAGGAAGCTTTAAAATCGCCTTCAAGCTCCCTAGTACTCGGGGCAGCGGCCAAGGACAGCCTCATCCTCAATGTGCCCATGTATAACCCACGGATGGTTTACTTTGCAGCAGACCAAGCTAAGCATTTGTCCTATATTTAAGGCACTTAGCCCCCTAACCTCCATTTTCTCAGCTCTCTCTGGACAAAAAGCCATCTAGGCTAAAAGCAAAGAAAAAAAAAAAGCAGGAAAATTAATTTCCACAAGTTTTAATTTTATTTTACAAGTAACTGGTAATTGATGGAAAAATAAACCAATTTAACTAACTACATCTTCTCCGTCAGGTTGCTGTTTGTCTTGGACACTCCTGTTTACTCTGACAGCTGAGCTGCCCTGGATTATTCTGCATTCAGAAACAAGAACCTCGGGATCCAGTTTCTCAAATAGGGTTTGGTGAGCTGGCATTGCGAGTAAGAAGCCGAGTACCACCTATTAAGCATTGCCCTCTTAAAGCTGCCATCTGCAGGCAGTTTCAAAGCCTGGGAGAAAGAAGTCAGTTTTACACTGAATGGAGGATAAAACCACTCGTTCTTGTCTATACAGTAACGTGGCATTCCAGGACCAGAGGAATGGCTGCCTCTCCCTAGACAGCACTCTTCTCTACATCACAACTTGGCAAATACAGACTTCAAAAAACCCAAAAGCCAGAAAACCAAACAAAAACCAGACGACAGCTATACTTCAAGGCACCCAAGCTGCAGTATGTTTCTTTTCTGTTGTAGAACGTTCTCCTCCTCATCTGAAACAGCACACACTGAAATTGCATCTGCCAGAAGAGCCTGACAATCTTGCACTGCTGTTACCTGGCTCTCTTAATTACACAGAATTTCCAGCTTCCCCACTGCCTCCTTCAAAGTGCCGTCACCAAGAGCTACAAGGCGAGAAGAGCAACGTGTGAGCACACCGCACACACAGCTGCATTCAAGAGGAGACAGAATCACACACACTCACACAGAAAACCGCACACGAAATGGAAGATTCCAAAAGGCAAAGAAGCGTAAGGCATTTACCCTTGGCTTTGCTAGTTCTTTCACAGTTTCAATCTCTTCGTCGGAGATGATGTCAAGGAAGCGAACAATTCGAGGTTTGTCCCACTCATCTTCCTGTTTGACAGGGCCCAGAATGTACCTAGGATTCCTGTTTCCGTCATAGTAGCGGCAGAAGAGTCTTTTTTGTCTCCGAGGGGTCTGAAAGCGAGGTGGAGCAAGAGATAATCAGAGAACTGCCATATGACATCAATATCTCTAAGAAACAAAAGGCGTCCGGAGAACAAGAGACAGGAACAATTCACTTTCCTTACCTTAATGTTATGTTACAAATTAAAGGGATGCTTTAAGTTTGAGAAATTAGTACTTTCAGCACATTAATGTTACCCTGCAATACTGCAACAAGCAGTACTTTAGAGAGCCCTATTAAAAAGAGTTTTCTCACTAAAACCCCACCCTCATTCAATTCCGTATGTAAATCTAGACTTCCAGCATCCTTATTCAATTAATTACAATTATGTAGTGCATCCAAGTTAGTCAGCAGTGCCTGTGGCTGTATTACTTCTTGTCTACTGGACAGAATGAAATGGGGAAGAAATCCAACACATGCTAATCCTCGGTTCTACACACTCAGCCAACTGCTATAATAACTTCCTTGCTTTCACGCCACATACAAATTCTTGACATTGTTGTGTTACGGTTGGTTTCATACATTTGAAAACAGTCTACTCCACTTTACCATTTTGAGACCCTCCCCACGGCACAGCATTTCGTACTTCCTTCTCTCGGGCAGGTAATCCTTTTTCTTAACCTCAGTTTCCTTCTCCATCTGGTCTTTTGAATCTGTGCTGGACTTATTTGCTTCTTTTTCTTTAGCCATGATGTATTCAAAATATTTCATGTTCCCATTTGCTCTTTGATGTTCAGGATCTATTGACAAAGAAACAAACGAGTATCACTGGCAAGTTTCCAACGTGTGAAGAAGTATCCAGAAGCGGCTATTTACAGAAGGAAAAAGAAAACAGATGCATGCTACTGCTTCTCAGATAGAAATTAGAAACATCTACTCTGGTTTGAGAGCATTCACAGGATAGCTAAAACTCCGAGCTAAGCTGGAGGCAATGCTAGCCTGCAGCATGCACATATCCTTAGTCATCTTCAGGCAAACACACAGTGAGCTCTCAGAGCTAAGCTCAACTCATTCACAGTTAAGAAAACTGCTTACCGTGAGGCCAGGATCCCCCAAAGGCATGGGGGTCCAAACACTAAGAAAAAGGGTTTGGCCATTCCAGCCAATTGCACCAGAGAGGGAGAGACAAGGGAACGGGACATGGAGAGAGCTGGGACAGCATGACTGGCTTTAAACCTAAAAAATTCCCTGAGGGGAATTAAGATTTCTAGTGACAAAGCTTTTAACAATCACTAAACTTACAGAATTTGCTTCGGTTCATTAATAAATGGTTCTCATTAGCCTTTGCTATGTTAAGGTTTAGTTCTGAGCTTCCCACAGCATCCATCAGCAGAATATTTATAGAAGCATAAATATTTTTTGTATTTCATAAAACTGACAGAATCTTAGCTGACTGTATTGCATTCTGTATTTCATATTTTTCACGTCAAGCATGCTTAATTTGCTTTCAAATAATGTGCAGAGATTTTGATATCGCCAATATAGTCTCAATTTAATTAACTGTGTTCTTGCCTGTAACTAAGGCGAACTAATCCCAACACAGGAAAGTAAGATGTAGCAAGAGAACCAAATTTCAGGCACTGATGACTAAGACGGGTAAGTGATTAGAAGCCAACAGTGATAGAAGGCAGAAAACACTTCAACAGAAAGGAGCAATCCTTAGCCATGACACTTTCTGACGTGGTAGTTGAGACTATAATTGTCCAATCTAACTTATGCTAACACAAGTCTTATTTTACTGAAAACTACGCATCAAGGTGTTAATGGCAGAATCAGTAATAATCCATTTTAAAAACCCATACACAAGTCAGAACACAGGCAGGACCGCACTCCTCAGTACGAATCCACAGCCAGCACCTGCTGGAACACAGAGCTAGGTCGTGGCGAGCTGCAGATCTCTCTTCCAACATACCCAGTTCCAGAAGGCGTTTGGTGAGCATCATGGCTTTGCCCAGATCCCCCTGCTGATACACAGCATAACTCAGGTAGTCCAGAATGTAGACTTTGTCTGCAGAAGACACTTCTCCCTCATCCAACTGTTTCAGAGCTTGTTCCATCCAGAGCTCGGTGTGGTAGTAGTCAGCTTCAGTGTAGGCAATCTTTCCCAGTTCAAAGCAATCTTCGGCTGTTAAAAAGGACTTGTGCTTCACGCCTGTATTTAAAACAAATCAAACCAAACAGAATTTACACAGAATTCTGGACCGGTCTTTAGAGTAACATTCAGTTATTTCTTATTCTTCACAGCACAGTTTATTTCTGTTCTTCAGCATCTCCCTTCTGTGGTGGCTATTTGTTGAAGACTCAGTTTAAGTATCTGAAGCCTGCAAATCCTTGGCAGAATACATAAGCAGTTAGATGCAGTTTTCCATTGCCAGAATACCAGCAACTAAGCTAAATGTCTTCAGCTTTAGTGGAAAATAACATAAACTAAACCAAACCTTCCTTCTTCAAAACCCCGAACACTTCAAGCAAACCAATAGTAAGCCAAATGCAAAGTTTCAGGAATCTGTTTTCAGAGACATTATTGCATTATCGCTTTCAAAACATTACTGAAGCACATCTTGTGAGCGACAACTTAGAGGGGGAGGAAAAAGAAAACATCAGTCAGTAAATTCCCAGCTGCTCAAGATTTTTGTAGTCAGTCATTTTTAGAAACATTTTAAGAGACCTCTGAAAGAGTAAAGCACTAGTAAGCAAATGACAGATTCCTATTTTTGCCACTGTAAATTAAGGCCCAATGAAAAACCAAATTTAATCCTGTAAAAAGGAAACAGGACCTGCCAGTTTTACAACTAAAATTCCGTTCCTGGTTACATCTTAACACATCCTGAATTTCTCATAGCAGCTCCCACAGCTGCATTCAAACAGGGGAATTCTTCGGTTGAAGACGTGCCGCAAGAAATTAAATAGCTGAAGAGACAGCCCGTGAAATGCAGTATCCAACAGAATAACTTTGGTTTTGCTCACTAATTAAACACCTTGTGGTCTGGCCAGCGATTTCAGTTTTCTGAGCCTGAAGCTGCCAACTCTAAAATAACACAAAAATTGGGGAATCGGGTGCGGTGGTGGTGGGAGTGCTCTCAAGAGAGATCCTCTGGAACGGGTAACAGGTTGCGGGGGCCATAGCCTGGTACATTTAGAAGCAACGTAACACGCACACATCAAAAGGCAAGTCTTTAAAGAGCACTTAAGACTGCAATCATCAATAGGGTTGATCGTTAATATAGAGAAACAGCACAGCCTGTAATGCAGGAGAGAGAATTAATAAGCTATATGACAGCAGTTAAGATTCTGATCAAAACCTGGCATCCTGTCCAAACAGAAATTCCCTGGGTAGGAAGACAAGGAGCACAAAGAAGCGACCACGTGGGATGTTCCTCTCCGGAGCTCTGAGGAGACCAACCTATTCTCTTTTATACTCTAGAGCTTTTGGGTTCTGCAATTACACTTTATTACACACAGACTGGGCAGCTTATTGCTTCAAAGGAAACAATAAACTACAGTCCACCCAAAGCACTTTGTCGTGTATTTTTGTGCTGTTTTAAGAAAACAATAATGAACTGCTTATTGTATTAGAATGAATCTGTAGGTCCTTGAGACAGTCTTGAACTAAATCCAAAAGCAAGGTTATACATCATAACATATAAAGCCAATTACCCTTAATTTTATTAGGCATCTGACCACAACGAGCACTTGCAAAAACACAGATGGATTGTACAGAGTTGACTTTTTGCCAGTTGGCGCAGTATTATTTTCAAACAGAGGAAACAAGGAAAAATCAGCAGAGAAAGTCTTCTAAGAAAAAAGCGTGCCTTCTCCTGCATGTAAACCTTTTCAAGATTACCTCAGGTAATGCCACATGAGCTCAAGTCTGTGTATGCACTCTCTTGTTTTTCAGTTTATACGCACCATGAAATTTAAGCTCAAAGAAAACTTCTGTCACTCGCCATCTGAAAGGTCCATCTTGTCCATGAGATGGAAAGGGATAATAAATGACAGAACTGCTTTCTTAAAATGCATTACATCGTGCAATAAAACTAAGTATCTGCCAGTGCACAACTACTTCAACACAAGGAAGATCCTCACCCAGGCAAGAGTGGGGTTTATTGCTATTGATTTTTTATTAAAAACTATTAACACTAAATTGTCTTACCATAACTAGAAGAAAGATACAGACTTCAACTAAAAAGAAATTTTCAGGTTCTACAAGCAGAAAACGAGCATGTGAGCAGACCGAGGAGAATGACAGGACAAAGGAGAGTCTCAATTCAGAAAGAAACTTGCATTCTGTGCGGTGCATTTTATCCACGTGCACTTGGGCAGCGCACTGGCAGAAGCAAGCCCATGAGTCAGGAAAGCCAAGCGGGCATAGTTTCCAACAGAACCACCACTGCAACAAAGCCAGAGTGTCTGTATGCCAGAGCAGGTCAGCCCTCCCTGGGTTCCTCTTCACCAGCACAGCCTGAAGCAACAGGTTTCTCTCTCTTGAGGTGTGGCAGAATTAAAACTGACACCTACATCAACCTATATTCAACAACTCACATCGCCCCACTTTTCATAAATTCTTAGCTCAAATGTTTCCCTATTGTTACCTTCACACTACACAGTTTAACAAGACAGAACAGAGTCAAATGATTTGTAATCAGGACATATAGTAAAAGTCCAGTGTCCTCTGAAAATAATATCAATGACACTTACCTGGAAGATTCCCCCTTGAGAGGGTGTCTGTATCCAAATTATACGTGTCTTGAAGCCGCAGGAGGGCTTTTGCTGCACCAGTCTGATCTTCATCATTTGGGAAAAACTGCCGCTGGATAGTCATGTTGGAGATAAAGCCTGGGAAGACAGGGAAACACTTGGCCTCCTTTGTCCCAGGAATTCTATAAACTTTATGCATGAAAGGATGCCCTACTACAGGGAAAGCTAGCATTTCAGGAAAGGCCACTAATAAGTCAGGAAGAGCTATCAGCCCAGCAGAGCACCAGCAGTTTGTCTCTAAAGGACAGGAGTACCCCCTCAGTTTCATGCAGAAACTATTTCTGTCTTAACAGGTTTAAAACAAGAAAAAAAAAATAGAATATTAAAGATAATACATGGGTAATTTTTGCAACCATTCCACTTAATCTGCCTTCCAAGAGGCTTTTAATTTAGTAACAAGGAATTCACAAATAATTCAGAATGGAAAAAAAACCAATCAGTGCTACAAATAGCAGTGTAAAGATTAAGGCTGGTCAATAAAAAGATGAAAACCAAAAATGCAGATGTCTAATTGCAAACAGCTTTTGACACGACTTCAGGCAACTACACAGCCACTATGAACCTGACGGCTTTCTGTGGACGTGGGCATCAACGTATTTACATAGAAACCTGAGAAACACACAAAGTTAAAAAGGTTTCTCAAGACCCATCTTCACACAACTCTGAATGGAACTCAAGGCATGTGTTGAAAAGTTAACTTTTTTTTTTGTTTTTAGTGAAAAGAAAGCAAAGGAACAATCAAAAAGAAAAAACTTGGGGGCTTTTCAAAGAAGCACCAGGGTGATGTTTATGGAACAGAAGACGAGCAGGTTCTATAAAGTAAAAAAAAAATTCTCTCTAGAAACCGGTCCCTGGTCATTAGTCACATGTAATCATCTCCCCTGGTATGAAGGGTTCCTACTCCTCTCTGGTGAACACACACACAACCACTGCTATCACTGCTACTTGAAGGGCCCTTCCTGGAGAGCACTGGGAGAACTGATGCAATTTTTCACCTTCCACTGCTGCACAGTCAAGAGGCTGGTGGGCTGTTTGCACCGATGGGGGAAACAGAACTCCAGGAGGACAGCTGAGGAGGGCAGAACCAGCATCCTGGTACACGCAGCCACCAAAAGGAACTGCGTCAACAAAGTCCACCATGAGGACCCGAGTTTGAACAAACTGACAGGCACTCTGGCATTTTCAGAAAAGTAACTTTTCTACCCAACAAACTCTTTTGTCCCAAGATCCAGAAGCACAACAAGCTTTACAGTGCTAACTAAGGACAGTGCCAGTATGATGTCTGTTAAGTTCATCTGCTTTCCCGCCCCCCCCTACCTCCCCCATTCAGAAGAAGGACTTAAGATGCACTGGTCCAGATTTCTGGCTGGCAGGTGCAGAGCCTTTTCATTTGGCAAATGGAGTCCCTCACAGCAGCGAGGGTGAAGCTGAATGTGCTGGATCCTTATCAGAGACCAGTCCTCCACTTTTTTAGCATTTCTTACTAAAAACCTACACCTGGTATTAGTTAGTTGTTGAGACAGATTCTCACAGGTCAAATATAATCACCCCAGCTTCTTTGCTGCTAAGTGTCTTTCACAGTCAACTACTTCATATCCTGTTCCCTACTGAAGGGCTTCTACTCTTGCTGAAGAAAAGAGGCAGCAAAGTATTTACTACACTAATTCAGATCAGTTCCACAAATGCTCAGTCTCTGCCAACATTCAGGTTTTGAATCATCACACCTTAACAACTCTCATATCAACATATCAACAGCAACAGCACTTGACCATACTCAAGACAGCCCCACGTCTTACACTCAGAAGAGTTTTGTTCCCTTGTTTATGTTCAATGGAGTCATCATACTTGGAGATGAAATTTCCTACAATACTAGTTTGCAAGAAGTGGGACAGTACACGAAGCAAGCCATGATCTTTGCAAAATTTAAAGCACGCAAGGAGGTTATTCAGTTTAAACATCGCAGTTTTCCTAAAGTTCAAACGATAGCACGCTGACAGCAAAATGGCAGGTCTTCTAGGATTATTTTTTATGAAGGCACCTCAAAAGCAGACTAACAAATCTAATTCAAACCATAAGATGTGAAAGACATAGTCAAGTAAATGCAATTATCATGTGATCCTTGTTCTTACTACAGGCACACTTACCATCTGACATGTCCTTCAGAACCAGGCTCTCCAGCTCACCCCACTCTGTGTTAAGACGTTTCATCAACTTAAATGCATTAACAGGATGTCCCAAAAACCCCTCCGGGTCTTTCGTAGCAGTATCTGTCAGCTGATCCAATTTCTCTGCCCACCTATAGTGAAAATACACATTTGTTAAAGTCTCTTGTAAAAGTCTGCCAATGCACTATAAAACTGATTTCAAGCCACTCAATGGTCTTCCCCAATAAAAAACCCATCACAAGTTGCAAGCTTTTACATTATCTCTATATAAAGCTCTCCTATAGAAGGAACAAAAGGGGCTTTTTCCTTTTTTTTTTTTTTTTTTTTTTTATCTTCCTCAGCTGCAGGCCAAGCCTTGTGCTGCTCCTATGGCCTTTGTTGGAACATGGCTGAACAAGCTCCTTCCTACAAACACTAAATGCAGTATGCCAGCAGTTCCACAATGAGTTTTCAGGCAGGACTAACCAAAACCAAAGCTTTACCAACATTTTTGATCTTTCGTTTTTAAATGCTCTTATTTCTAAAGTTTGCAGTAAGGTAGAATACAGAACGCTTGTCTTAAATATTTGCAATATTTGTATTACAAAATACAACACTTGTCTCAAGTATTTACAATACAGAATGCTTGTCTCAAATTATTTTATGCTTAGACACACACTCTTAAATCTACAATAAGCCCCTTGCCTCCCACCACAAAGCTGCCTTCCACACTGTAAGCTCGTATTAAGAAACATGTCATTCTCACGCTCCCAAATGAAGAGCCCAGGCCAACGTTCTGGTGCTACAGTTCTGACTCCACAAACCTCTCTGACACTGTCAGGGACATAAGCCATTCACAACTCCAGTGTGCTCCAAAACAAGCACACCTTTCAACAACTACCGTTGTTCATATGTCATTTTAATGGAAACGTCCAGGGAGCCTGCTCCAGTCTCAAGCCAGCAAGCACCTCGGTCATACTACAAGCACCAGCGCTGCGCTACTACACGTCCACAAAACAACCAAACTTCACCTCTCTATCCAAAACAATGCAGACCTAGAACACAAAGGCATGTAACAATGCCCTGAAATCAAGATAAATTAACATTAAAAAAACCACACCCCACAGGGAATACCAAACATCAACACCAATATAAAGCAAATACAAAATCCATAGCCTGGCAGAAACTCTGTATGCGAGCCAGCATTCAGCTTGCTCCAGAATTTGTATGCCTGAATTAATTTTGCCTGCTTTACCGGAGACAGGTAGATGTTTGCAACTGTTAAAGGTGCCACTGTTTGCATTCACTCTTCCCACACTGCCTTTAGTTGTTTTCCTGCGCTCTGACAGCCCCTGTCTGGGTTCCTGCCAGCAGCAATGTGAGTTCAGTTTCAGTTTGGGGTTCCCTCCAAAATGGAGCGCTCAAAGTGCTTCTGTGGACCAGTTCCAGCTTCTAGGCAAGCCAAAGACTGAAGAAACAGATTTCAACAAATTGCACGTGCACGTTGCACACAGGCAAATCCATCGTACATTTCCCACCACGTGACCATCAAACCTAACGAGTAGCTGAAAGTCACTGCAACCGGGAGCCACAACCACAAGGCCAGGATTTCTTTCAAGTAGTTTCTGTTTCATAAAAACCTCCACCACAAGCCACCCGCAAGGTGTGAGCCATCCTCCGCATTTCAGTGGATTACCAACTTTCACTGAGTGTAAGTCAACACCAGCTAACAATACCCTTCAGCCCAAGTACAGAGTGCAGCAAACTCAAGTGACACCAGCATTTTTTTCCAGGTTCTTCTATCTCTTTGTGAGAGTTATTTTAACTTTTCTGACCTGACAGCCAGTGCCTCTAATATAATAAAAACAGAGCTGCAACGCTTATATCATAAGTTGTATTTACACAATTTTGGATGCCCGACAGAAGTACCTTTCTTCCTCAATGGCAGAATGTAATACACAAAGGCTAAAACGTCCTCATGAGAGATTTATACACATTATTGAAAGCCAGGAAACCATCCTGTTCAGCAGTACAAAATTTTTATTTCTGGCTGTGATGAAATCTGACATCTTGGGCTCTGGTCCTCACACCTATAGAGCCAAGCAATGTAGTCATGGCAATGGTCGGGTCTCTTGTTATATTTAAAAGCAGTAAAGAAGTTTTATTTTGCTTTAATTTACTTTTATATCTAAGTATAGCACGTAGAAAGAGACTCTGCCCTTGTAGTGGGTTATTACTATTCATTGGTTAGCCACTCACGAGCGATATGGCCATGCCAACACCTTCGAGGGCTTTTATGTCTGGTGTATCATGGCAGTCCTTGTAACACTCATTTGCAGACTTGCTGGGTTTTAGTTTCCACTAAGCTGATTGTCATTCAAAGAACTACAGCCCCTTGGGAATTATGTGCAAGCAGGAGTCCTAAAGTGAAGGTATCGTACAGAAAGCGAGTTGATCAGCCTTCACAATTAGAAAGCCGCACAAAACAATCCAATGGCTCGGAGATAATAACTTAGGACAAAAACCCGGCAAAAGCTGCTAGTTTAAGCTTTGCCTCAGAGGAAAAATTCCACAAATTTAATCAGCCTTGGGAAGCACTTTTTACATAAGGGTGGACGCAAATTATTAACTATTAGCATTATGAAACAAGCTGCTTACTTTTTGATCTGTTCCAGCTTGCTTTCCTCTGCCTTGATGTAATCTTTCAGTGACACCACCAGATCTTTTTCTGTATTAATTAAGTCTGTCATATGACCTAGAAAACAAATGAACTTGGTTAGACAAGGAGAAACAAAAAAATGAGAACTGAGAATTAGAGTCGTTCTTCCCCTCTTCAATTCTTTCTTCCCCAAACCCCTTCTGCATTTGCTTAAATAACCCTGAAGGAGTATTTGAGTAAGGCTTCTTGCCTTTTTTTTTTTTTGAAGGAGAAAATCTCATGTTGCCATGGAAGTTAACATAATATCACATATTTATTATTAGAACTAATTTAGGATTCATTTGGAAAAGGAAGTAGGTTGCAACGGAGTAATTTTTCATCCAAGCATATATAATGCAGAGCAAATAAAGACAAAGCTGCAGAAATATACAAAGACTTCACATTTGATATACAACACTAATCCAATGTTTTATTTTTAAGATTACTTGCGTGACTTCAAGAGGTCTCCTAACAGACCCTGTTATTAATTAATAATTGCTTCATTTCCTGCAAGAGGGCAGCTGAAGTGGTTCTTCATGAAGCGATACAGTCCATGTCTTCAGCTGTGCCACAAGCCATCAGAACCCCGGAGAGAGTACGCTGACATACTGCCATCATTATGTACCCTCAACAGCTGTTTCACTTGCTTCAACGTTATGTGCAACAGTCCACATCAAAATATTGTTTAAAATCCAATACCTATAATACGTAATGGATACAAAGCCTAGCCTGGGTCATTAGACTAACTAGACTGACTTAACTCAAAGCATGTTTCTGCCAAAAGAATAAAGTCGATGAAGTTGTATGCACTAGTAGGTGGATTTAGTTCTGTACCAATTAAAGCCTTGCACGCCATTAACACATTATTGCAGACTCAGTGTTGAGAGCCGTCAAGAAATTCTTTTGGCTATGCAGCGCATGCACCAAAGCATGTCTCACCAATGGAAGTGAAGAAGTCCGTATGGGCATAAGAAAAAGGCAGCAGAAGTCCAAGGGCTACAGTACACCAAATCTTGTTGAATGCCATAGTTCAATAGCTGTCTCCTCACCACGTACCTACAAAGGAAACATAAAGTAGGTAAAACATCCCTATTCACCAGAGAGCTGAATCTACCTTCAAAAGAGACAGCTTGTTCTCTTGGGGCTGCCACTAGTGCTTGAGGTAGCAGAACCTTGCGATACGCTTGAGCAGCTCTCACAGAGAACCAATGCCCTTCTGCAGACTTTCTTACACTTTTGGCTTGTGTAGTAAGAGAAGAAAGAATAGCTTGGAGACAGGGTCTTCACAAACACGCTTCATCTTTTTGACATCTAAGACACACTGCAGATAGAGCTGCTTCACAAAAAGTACCCAAAAACCCAAGACCAAACACTGAGAAAAACGTAACACTAAGTTAAAACACGTATTATCAAGTTTATCCACGCAATGAAAAAAAAATTATTCCTTTGATCAGTCAAAAAGATGCCAGTGGAACAGATCTAAATGAAAACCCTGTACAATCAGTCCACAGAGTACTTGCATGCTCCTGCTCGTCAGCTGCCACCATCACGAAGCCAGCCTCCATCCCTGATACAAAAGGTTTCTCTGTCGGCTGGTTCACAGTCAGTCCCTGGGTAAATGCACAGCAGGCTTATGGCAGAGCTTTCTCCCACAAACAGCTGCCAAGCTCTCAGCCTTTCAAGATCCTGAACCCTTTTAACAGACTAGGATTTTCTCCTACCGCATGCTTTAAAAGTAATTACGCTGTCTTGGAATTCACAAGATTTGCTTTTTCCCCAAAAGCTTAAACTCTCACGTATTGTATCTGCTCAGAAAAATTAAAACAACCACATGTACTAACAGAAACTGTTTTACAACTCTTCCAATGGCAAGAGAACTAAAAAAGAAAAAAAAATAAACATCACAAAGCAAGGCCAGCTACAAAGTGGCTCGGCCTGTTTAGGGAAGAAAGCAATATGCTTTTGATCGAGTTGACAGCACTGGTAGTGAACGCCATAAACCCAGGTGTGCCATTCACACAAGGTGTAAACAAAATTGGGAAAGTGCAAAAATCACACCCAAAGAAAAACCATGCTACCCAAAAGCAGAGGTATTAGCAGGAAACGCTCCCTTGACTCCAGAGTGCAGGATTTCTTCTCACATTGCACCTGAAGGGTCTGGAAGCAGTTCCCTCCTTTCCTTTCTACCTCTAGCACTATAGAAAGGGTTTAGATTTACTGACTTGGTGGATTGCCTCTTGGAGAGGGCAAGCATAGTTTCACTGGCGCTAACAGGAACAACAGGAAACTCGTCCGAGCCTGGAAAAGCAGCACCATCTCCAACTCTCGTAAATCATCTGAAATCTGCATGACCAAAATTGAAGAGCTGAAACATTCTGACACATTCATCAGCAGAAAGTAAGTTGTAAAGTAAAAATCTGGAGGGAAGCCTGGAGTCCTGCTTTTTCCCCAAGTCGAGGGCCTCGGTCTCACCGATGCTCTAAACCAGCCCTGCCGTCCACAGCAGCATTCCTCACCTCCTCCTCGCCTGCGCGTCCGCTCCACAGGCAGCCAGGCCACCAGCTAAATCAGGCTATTCCAAACTTAACTCATCCACAAAAGATCCCCCCCGACCCCTCATTTCACTGCAGTTCAGTTCTGATACAGTTCACTATATAGCCATGTAACACCCACGCCAGTACAAGTGGGCAATTAGGAGGCAGGAACTGGCAAGCCAAAGACAGCAAAGGAAGGCAAAATTGTTGTAGCAGGACAGGTTTCATCCATTTGCGAAACTCCAGCCCTAAACACAATGAACAAACATGCAACCCTCCAGCCAGCCTGTAACACTTACCTAGTTTTCAGCATAAACCAGGGATCGTGGCAACACCTATACAACTGTACCTCTCTCTTCCCTGACTAATGTCGGTCTCATTAAACAAGAGCTCCAATTGAGTAACTGCTGTAAGTGAACGGGTCATGTCTGGAAGCAAGTTTTCTTCCTGGCAAATTTCACTCTTTACTTAAAAGAAGCTGTATCCACGCGCCGAAGGACACTGATGTGCACCTGCACTCCTGTTAATTCGTATTTTGCTCTGCAGAAAGCCAAGTGCCTCCTGCTCATTCAGCACTCAAGCTACTACATCTGTGAATCAATTACAAAGCACAAACAGTTGTACTACACGATAAATATTTGCTAACATTATCAATACTCAGAATTCACAGAGCTATTTGTTTACCGCACTCAGCAAAACACAGGAAAAGCTTCAGAAAGTTTACTTTTTACTATGAGCCAACGTACAACTTTTCTAAAACACAAACAAAAGGAAAGCACACCAAAAAGATGATGAAAATGATGTCTTTTCTCCAGCGACAGCCTTCTACCTCCCACAGGAGAATGATGCCGTACAGCCTGTTCGAGTAGCACGCGTTGGAAATGTTTTTTCGTCTTCTTTACCTGCCTTTACAGCCTGCTCCAATTCCAGGCTGACTCCGAACGCAGTTGCAATCCTATTCCCTCCTTGTACCTTCACAGGCGTACAGCAGAACGAGCGAGTGGCAATGGTCACAAATTGCAACAAGGGAAATTCTAAGCAGGTGCAAAAAAAAAAAAAAGTTTCTCACAGCGACAGCAGTCAGGCACTAGAAGAGTTTGTCCAGAGAAACTGGATTTCCCATTCTTGGAAGAATTTCAAAACTAAGTGGGACAATTCCATGTGCAGCCTAACCTAACCTCCAAGTTCACCCAACTTCAAACGGGAGGTTAGGCTAGATGACAGCCAGAGGTCGCTTCCAACTTGATTTTTCTTTCCTTTCACGGTCTCCAGATTTTCTGTCATTCGCAAGGATTCAGACTCCTGTAATAGCTTTCAGCCACCCAAGATCACTTCCCTCCCAGACAGAATTCATAGAGTTGGAAACAGAGCCCAAGGCAGCGGCCAGCCAAGCCTTCGCTGCCCCAGCAGCAGTTGCTAAGTAGCACAGCTTTCAAGACTACTGCAGAAGGATCAGCTACAGGTTCCCAAATCAAAGAAAATAAAGCTCACTTAAGATAAATGCTGGAAGTCTCTTAGATGCACAAGCTGCCAAATAAGTAGGCTTAATTTCTTCCTGTCAGTGACATGAAGTAAAACAAGATGAAAATCCTCTCCGCATTATTCCTGTCGGTCTGACTCTCCTCCTCAGCAGTGTCCCCCAGGCACACACAAAGATGGCAGCTGAGCATCTCGGAGAGGAGGAATCTGCTACCCACATACAGAAGTGGGAGTCCAGCTGACAGCTCTAACACAGGAGCTTTCCGACTTCCCATCAGAAGTACATTTGCCGAGCTTTGAAACAGTAAAACATGGCAGAGCAGGAAAAAAAAAAAAAAAAACACATGGGGAAAAAATAGCAAAGAACAAACAAATATGACGATACAAGGAAAACAAAGCGGCAATTAGACAAATGATACTGCCAAGCGCAGCACAGGATTCCCCAAACAGCAGGGACCACAAATGCCATTTCAAATGATGAAGCTTAGAGGTGGGTTTTTTGAGGGCTTTATTTAAAGAGTCCAGCTCTGCCCTACAAGTAGGAACAACCTGCAAGAGTCATAGGAGAGTGGAAGTGCACGTAGCATCCATGCAAGCAGAAGGAAAAGTGAAATTGAGACAAACTAGAGAGTGACAGAACCTCGCAACGATCCAGGTCACGCTAATCGGTGACCAAAGACTGAAGCATTTAGCTGAGGATGTTTATTATACAAGCCTCCCCACTGCCAATTCCAAGCTCCCAGGTGCTTACCAGAACCCAGAAAACAGAAACTGAAGGTGTACTTCAACGTGGAATTATTCTGGAATAGCTCTAACTTAATTCCAAAACAGCTTCTTTACTTAAGTAAGAAATAAGCGACCTGCTCAAAATTAAGCCTGCTGCAAGGCCCGGAGTCAAAACTGTATCACCAAGACCCTCAACTTTTGATTTACATACTAGTCCACTCTCACAATCCTTACTGTACCCCACTGTATGTTTAAATAAATCAGTTAAACTGAGCTGAGGGCAAGGAAGAGGATAGTACCAGAAACGATAGCGGCTCACTGCACTAAACCTCTGTCTCCAGAACAACTCAAGTTACAGCCTCATGACACGATGTGACTGGGAATACTACTCAAAAGGGAAGAACTTTCCCAGAGAAAATACTAAGCACCAAGAACATTTAGCTGTCTTTGTTGCTTAACAGTCTCGCCGGACAGAAACATTAGAATCCAGTTCCCCAAATTCTCTAGCACGTCACGTTTAAAGGCTGTTTTAGAGTTAAGACCCAAGCAGCAAGAGAAAAAAGATTTTCCTAGAATTGCTGCTAACAAAAGAACATGGCATGGTTAGGGTTCTTTTTAATGACATAGTTGTAATAGAATCTTTTATATATATATATGCAAATAATATTATAATCTAGTAAGAGAGAAGAATAAATTTTAGAGTCAAGTAGGTGACGTGTTTTAAGTATCATTTATTGCCAACTTGGAGACAACATTTGTGAGTCTGGGTATAGAACAGGCATGCTCGTAGACAATTTATACCCAAGGAACCAGAGCAAGTTTTAGCTTGGTTTCATTCCAGACTGAGACTGAATGGACACAGCCCTCTCAGAGCGCACTTGTTTTAACTCCCTAAGCCAAGACAAAGAACACGGGCGATGGAGCAGAGCACTTATTAGACACAACAAGCAGGAGGCTATCCTTCTATTTATCCTTCTGCTCAAGGATTAGCGGAGTATCTATAGAGATACACAGAATATTTTCAGATATTAAGAGTGATTATAAAGAAAGCAGGACAATCCCAGCGATCAGGAGCTGAAAAACAGGAACAGATAAGAGCTCTTTTAGGCTGAGGTTGTAGCTCAGCAGGTGGTTCCACAGCAGCAGAAAGCCTGCAGAAGGGGAACAGCGAGTCATTCTGAAGTTGTTGCAAGAACACAAGTGACAGCAAAGATGCTGTTTCAGCACAGACTTTATTTGCAGTCTTTCCTCAGTTAAACAGACACAATTTATCAACTAAGTTTTTGGTTTTTAACAGGTATATTCTTTCAGACCGCTTTGTTCAGAAAACAAAGTTTCCTTATCTATATCAACCTCAACATGGAGGCAAGAGTTTTCCTCCCACAAACCTCTATTTATCCTCACTCCTTCCAGAGCGTTACTCATTATCCATCCCTAACGTCTTTCAAACTGCACCGGGTAGTTTCTAATCTACATGCACGCCTCAAAATCACAGCTTTAAACACTAGATTTTAAAACCATTCGTTATACAACAACACTTAAATCTCTACAGGTCTGAGAGCCGTGCTCTCTCTCCTGGCTCGATGCATAGCTCCCAATGCACACGTTAACCCTGTCGTCCAACCAAAGTTTCTGCAGCAGCTCCTGTCTCCACACGACCCCCTCCGCTGCGCCAGCAGACGACCCGTTGTGCGTAGTGCTACACAGTGAATTAGCAAAGGGAACTAATAATCCACATCAGCTCTTCTCTGCTGGGAGGCGAGGTGGTGATTTCCCCCCCACACACTCATTTCTAGTTTGGTTTATCAGATGAGCCAGCCGGTGTCAAGAGCACAGATCAGGAACTGCTTAGGGGGGCTGCCACTGGACAGCAGTTCATGAGACACTGCTGCTGCTTCTTCAGCTCCTAAATGAAGCAACGGCTGGAAGAGATATGCCTACCTATGCCACAACCACCGCTTAGAGAGCGGAATTAACCCTCTTCGCATAGCAAGATTCAGGCATGTTCCTGTTACTTTGAGTCCCAGGAGGGGGAAAAAATAATTAAGAAGCTGTGCAGAGTACTCTAGAACAAATCAAATGCTTTGTAGCGTGGTTCAAGACATTCAAACGTATCCAGCCATGATCCACAACTAGTAACGGGCGCAGAACAGCAAGACGGAGAACATCTCTTACCCCAAAAGCAGGCCTCTGCCTCCCGAACAAACTGGGAAGTCATTACCTTTCCTTCCCACCCCTGCCAGAATACCGTTTGCATGCTTCGCTGAACAGTCTTGGGCATCCTAAGAAGCTGCATTTAACATTTATCTACTTGCTGTAACCAATAGCTTCTTTCATTTACTAAAACCCTGAGCACCGCATCTTTATGTAGCTAAAGTAGGAGCATGCTTAAGCGCTCGAGCACCTCTGCAACTCCTCTTACTGAATTCAGCAGAAAAAAAAGATGCCTGAGACCGAATGCTGGGCAATCCTTTTGACACCTTCTCCCTGTAACCCCGAAGCACCTTTCTTCTAAGAACATCCAGCTTTTCAGGTAAACCGGGAGATTCACTCTGACATTTTTATTTTCTTCTTCGTTCCACAGCATCCTGCAGACTCCACGCGGGAGTTTTCCCTTCTAAGCCAGGTTAGGTCCCCTCAAGATCCCTGCTCCAAGGTATAGCGCAGTTAGACGCACGGCAGGTTTTACCTAACGCAGTTGGCTGAATCCAGCCCAAAGCAGCAGAAAGGGAGGGAAATCACGACGCCAAGTAACTTTTCATCCATCCCAACGTGAAGCCGTTTCGGCGCCCGAGCACTCCTCACCCCCG